ATATATATACACACACATAATAATTTAAAAAAAAAATCACTGGATATAATAGCCGGCCTGCATACATATATTAGAAAACTGGTATACTCGTATTAACACCCAGCATAGAACACACTCCATATAAACCCCTATGGCTCAGCTCAGTCACAGCTTCCCCTGCTGCGTCCTGCGACAGCCGGTCTAATGTCCTGACGCACACTGTGCTATTCCTTGTAAGACCCCGAAGCCCTCCGTACTGATGTGATATGCGGGGAATACACGCTTCATTTATATCTAATATACACCCTGCGCGCTCTTACTTCTGCCGCACCGCTCCCGTGCTCCCCACAACGGGGGCCGCCATCATTGTTTAGCTCCCAGTACCACACAGTGAGTACGGAAGCCGAGAGAGGACGGCGAGTGATGATCAGTGCGCATGGTCAGAGCTTAGTGGCGGTGACGTCACTGGCGTCCTGTGACCCGGAACTAAAGCGTCAGGTGTATGATGGCGCAGAGCCAGCACAGAACGGTCTCTATAGTCCTGGCTGACCTGAGCGGTGACGGGTTATAAATGTATGATGTACAGCCAAAGAATGGCGGGGAAGATGACAGTTCCCACGTGGACACCGAATCCTCCTGTCCCCGGTTGACATTTCTTACATACGTGTATATTATAAGTAAATCCCTCTTTACTTCTCCATATGTCCATTTGTTCTGATCACTATTTAAAAGAACTTCAGCCTCAGCTTTTTTCCCCACACTTGTAGCAAATCCTCTACTATGCTGAATTCTCTAATTTTCCTGCAAACTTAGATTTCCACAAAATAACCCTTTGAAGCTAGAGCTGCAATCTTGAGCCCACCTTCATTTCCTACCTGAATGACCTCCATCATTTATCGATCACTTTTCCTCCTGATCTGTGATGTGATTGGCTTTCATCTCACAGCTATTAGCTTTCTCTGCCATCAATCATTTTGTTCCCCAAGCTCTATTTATTTATTACTGGTGCTTATATAGTGCCGACAATTTACGCAGCGCTTTACATAGTGCACATTTACATCAGTCCCTAAGCTCAAGGAGCTATTTGAAATTAGTCATCCCCCACATCCCTTTAGATGCAGCTGCAACCCATCAACCAATCAGATAACTGCACAGCTAATTTCTGCAGCAGCTAATCAGTGCAAAGCAAAGTCTGCAGCACCCAATGGCCAGCAGGGAGACGCGCATCTAAAGAGATGCTTGGGATGCATTCTCTCATATGATGCTTTTGAAAAAGATTGGAGGCAGAAGGTTGCAACATTTACAGGAGCCCCTCCCACCAATAAGCAGCAGACAGACTCTGGGTGGGCAGGGGAAGGTATTATATGTGTACAGTACACTTCATATATAAAGCCTAACTCTGGTCAGTCATAAAAGCATTACAATTGTCTCCCTCCCCTACCAGCTGATAATGGTTCTAATGTTTGTTTTTTTCTAGGGGATGAGATAACACATATAATTCCTTTCATAATGCTGGACTCCAGGATAAGCTAATATTGTGTAAATACAAGAGCCATATTTATGCTTAATAGAAACTTGGCATGCTTTTTGTATTTCTTCCAGATCTGTGCAGGAATCCAGCATGGAAAGTTGCCTTTGTGTAGGAGCTTCCTGTAATAAAGACCAAGCACTGCTGCTCTCTCTCCTTGTGCAAGGTGACTGGTCTTGTCTCCACCCCTCCTGTAGTTTTCTTCCTGCAATGTGAGGAGCTGCTGACAGTCATGCTCCCTGCACAGGATATTTATGTGACGTACGCCCGGCCCAAACCCGCTGTACATCAATCACACGTGACTATACACAAGTCTGAACCTAGCGTGGGCGTCACAAGGACATGGCGATACCACTCTCAGACTCACCCTGCACAGAGCTTTCCCAGCTCGGGGGACACAATCTCAGGCCAGCAGACTGAAAGTGATGGTCACCAGGGTTGGTTGACTCAGCAGTTAACCCTTTACACACCAAGCGTTTGCTGCCACCATGTGTTTTTAAGCGGAAACAGACCGTGTCCAGCAAGTGCTGTGACAATTTAAAACACTTAAAGGAGAACTATGGGGTCAGTGCTTTTCCCCATAGTTCTCCCAAGGGTAGGGAGACACAAACTAGCGTCCTCCCGTCACCCAAAGCTCAGTATACCGTGAGCTACAGCTACAGGACGTGAGTGAGCGACGTTATGTGTTCGCTCACTTTCCGATCTATTGAGCCGACGTGTGACAGATTCATTGTCACACGTCGGATTGAACTATGAGGTTGAGTGAAAATCACTCACCTCATAGTTCTCCTTTAAACAATTCCCATGATACCGCTGTCCTCTCAGACAGGAATATGACAAGATTCACTATACAGTAGCGCTCTTCACAAAGGCAAGGAGACTTTAAGTTCGTATTTAGAGCATAGAGAAAGGCTTAACGATTTTTAAGATCATCCTTTTATAAAAGAAACTGTGCACAAAATATACAGAAAAAGATATTAATAAAAAGAGACAAAATATATAACAGCAGCAAAATAAAAGGAGAATACTCAACAGTCCTGTTCAGAGTTGTATAAGCCAAGGAGAAGTCTGAAGGGCTCTTCTTCAAGCAAGCTTTCAGCAGATGATGGCCATAGATTAAAGGGGAACTCTTCTGCGATGTCAAGACTTCTTAGTTCCTTGATGTTTTTAAAAACGAGAGCCATCTCTAGCTAGTTCATCATCTTTTTGTCAGCCCGTTAGGAGCCGGCCCCTAGGGCAGGGCTGGGGATGGAAAGCAGGCAGAGGATGAACCTTTATTTTACACCATCCTCGCCCAATTGCAAATGATGAAATGTAGCTTGATTTTGTAGCCCAGGTTTATGCCTTTTGGGATGAATGTGTGGTCACCTCTACCAGACCTGCTTGTTTATATTAACTTGTCCACTGGTAATAGATGAGGGCCTGGTGACATGCCTTTAATTAGGGACAGCTATAAAAGGCTTAGGAGTTTTGGGACTCTCACTTCTGCTGGGGGGGCAATAAAAGCTCACAGATAGCAGATCTCTCTTCTGTGGAAGGCCTGGCAAATGACTAAATGAAGGCCTGCATTTGCTCTGACTGGGGGACAAAATAATTCTATTTTTTTAAAATATTCAGACTCACCCCCATTATCGTCACAATGTACAGCACAGTGTAGTGATAGTGATACCACTACTTTTACAAGGTAATAATTGGGATTACAAAGACATTTGGTGCACTTAAACAGCATTTTTATAATTTGTGGCTATGGAGGAACATATTTAAATGAGTTCACCCGGGAAGGACATGTGCTGGTCATAGCCGCCTCTACATCTCTATGACAGGCAGACCCACAGTTGCACATCCGTACAGGTATGCACGCACACCCTTGGACGGGGGCTGTTTGCTAAATGCTATGTTGAATGTAAAAGTAACACTAAACGCAAGTTAAAAAAAGAATCATGTTCAATACCTGAAGTTGTAACTATCTGTGTCCCTTCTAACTTCCTTTATGAGGGTGGCTACTTCAGTCTTCATGGTCCCACTGGATGTGAGAACATAGACACCCTCCACTGATTGCTCCCAAATTGGACTACAACATTACGAGTCCACGCATTTAGCGCTGACACATAAAAGCACAGAGAAGACACCCATTCATAAAATCAAAAGGTGAGCACATGCTCAGTTGATTCGGCAGACACAAAGACATCTGAGACTTGTAGTTTCAGCAGAGTGGTGCACAAGACTGCACTATATATGCAATGCTCGCACACATAGATAGGAAGTGAAGGCAAAAGAGCCTACGGTATGTGAATGTTTTTGGCAGATTAAAGGCTTAGTTTACTCTCCTGACCACATTCCATATTATACCCATATTTAGGGTGTAACATTAAACATGAGGATGAATACTAAAGGCAAATAGGCTGTTCACTTTGCAAGGGAATTTGCTCTTTGCAGGAGAAGTTTCCTCTTAGTTTAGTGAATGGGGTGAAGCTCTTCTGACTTCCATCACCCAATGATATGCAAGCAAAACTACTTTTTTTATTTTCCTTGCACATGATTGAGTATTCTTTGCAAAGGGAAATGTAATCACCAAGCTAACGGAAACTTCCCGTGCAAAGTGCAAATTCTCTTGCAATGTGAACAGCCTATCTGACTTTAGAAAATTAGCCCCCGTGGTCACATCCCCCACCACCAAAACATTCCCCACTTCACTTACCTGATTCACAGGGTTGTTTTCTCTGCATGCTGCTGTAATTTTTTTATTTCGCCAATACCGAATACCGATACTGGAAGTCCCATTAAGGAATCCAGGCAGCGTGTAATGACTTGCGACCTGGCTTCCTGATTAGCCAGGAAGCCGGGCGGCCTGTAAAGTCTCGCAACCCGGCTTCCCGAATAGCAGGAAAGCTGTCTCCATGCTTCCTCGTCACTAAGTGACGAGGGAGCATGGAGCCGGCTTCCTGGCCAATCAGGAAGCCAGGCAGCGTGTAATGACTCGCTGCCCAGCTTCCTGATACCGAAAGTTTGGGTATCGGGCGAGGCATCGGAGCATTTGGGCAAGTAAGTGTACTCGCTCCCAAATACTCGGTATCTGCACTGATACTAGTATCGGTGCATCCCTACTTTAAAGTGACACTAAACACAGGGCTTGGCGAACAAATTGCCTGGGAGCTAAGTGGCGTAAAAAATTTGGATTTGAACTGTTTGGGATATATTGAGTGCTTGATTTTTTGAATACTTGTTGTCTCCCAAGGCGGTAAATCTTAAAAATGCATTCAAGTACATTAACTCATTGAGATTGTAGTCCATCACAGGAGTGATCTTGGAGTGGTAAATACTTTACAACACACACAGGGACCATGAGGAACAAAAGCAGCCACCCTCCAGAAGGAAGGGCAGTGGCAGCACCAATGCAGCGATGATTTGAGAATCTACAGCCGAATGATACACAAATCATTTTTGTTGATGGATAAGGTACTTGAATGCATTTTTAAGATTTAACTCTTTTAATGTCACTTTATTGTCTAATTTGTAACTCTGCATAAATGATGGAATTTTGTTGGTGTTGGACGTTCATCTGGTTTATAAAACAAACGACCAGCGTTTAAGTGATTTTTATTTTACATTGTATGCTTTTTTCCTGATGGCAGCTGTAGGTGTATGTTACTGCATGTAGGTTTGTCTGTTGTTTTTTTTTTCTAGAAGTGATGATGAAAATAAGTTTATGGTTTGGCCCAGTTTTAATAATGCACAACTCGATCTAAAATTATTTTGTTTGGAATAGGGTGGAATTGTTTAACCTACCCACAAACAAATACGTTTGATTGTCATCTGTGTCAAATCTCTTACAGGGGATGCTACTGGTTTTCACTCCGTCTCTGCTGTAATAACAAATTATATTATGTAAAACAAATGCCAGTGAAGTTAATATGTATCTGCTATTGGTATACGGTTACTATCTTCTCTTATTTTGGTAACTTATCACCTATGAAGCACACAATACTCAGCACATCCCGGGCTGATGATTAACAGGTTGTAAAACGGCCAGTTATGTTACACTGTTACTTTTCAGCATGGAATTCTTAAAATTCTGTATTTTTAAAGAATTTGTATTTATGTTGATAGATCTCTGCTGGTTTTGTACTGAATATTAAAGTGACCCTGTCAGAGCGTCAACAACATTAGAAAGGCATTACCCTGCTAAGAAAGCAGGTTTTAACATACCTGTCCATCGGCTCATTTACTTAAATAGCAATACAGCCATTGAAAACCAAATTAGTTTCACCTTCCACATCTACTGTAATACATTTAGAAAAATCTGTGAAATGTCAGTAAAATTATTGATTTTCATTGAGGTATCAGGGCAATAAAAACTAATTTATTTCCTTCTTTTGTCCTGGGTCTCTGGTGCTAACAGAATTTGTTCATATATGTCAAGCTAGCAAACAGAAATTTCCACTCATTACATGAAAGGATGGAAAAGGAATCTGACATTACGCCAGAAATGCTTCAGGCTCAGAAAGGATGCAAAAAGTACAGCAAGAATGATGACGGAAGCACAGCAAGAGTATGTTGAAGGTAAAACAGGAAGGATTCAGATGTACAGCAGGGAGTAGAGCAGGAAGGATGGATTAATTATAGCAGGAAGGATGCCGAAAGTACAGCAGAAATAATGCAGAAAATATACCAGGCAGGCTGCAAAATGTACAGCAGGAATGATGCAGAAGATATAGCTGGAAGGATGCAGAAAGTTCAGCAGGAAAGATGCAGAAAGTAACGCAGGAAGTATGTAGGGAGTACAGCAGTAGGTATGGAGAAAGTATAGCAAGGAAATGCAGGAGGAAGAGTGCAGGAAGTATATCAGGAAGATGCTGGAAATACAGCCTGAAGGATTTGGAAACTACAACAGGAGAATGCAGGAAGCATGAAGGTATAGCAGGCAGTACAGCAGGAAGGATGCAGAAAGTATAGCAGGAAATATGCATGAAGTATAGTAAGAAGCATACAGAATGTATGAAGAAAGCATAGCAGGAAAGCAGAAAGAGTAGCAGCAAGTAAAGTAGGATGTACAGCAGGAAGGATGCAGGAAGTATAGCTGGTAGATGCGAGGTTCCCATGTTACTTTTATTGTCTGTTATGCCACATTTACATTCCATGCAGTTGCAATGCTGTGTGCTTCAGATGATTTTTTTTTTTAACATTGTTTAAAGGTTGCATGCAAAGTACATGCATTTTATATGATTGTATAAACCTCCCTGAAGATCCAGCAAGCAGGATTTTTTTTACACATCACACTTAAAATGCAAAGTGTCAGTGAAGCACTACTCTCCATGACCTATGCAGGCAAACAGAAATGTTTGTAATAATACTGGATCAGCCTATGAATTAATCAGGAAGGAGTGACATCTCTGAAGAGTATGGGACATTCCCAATGATGACACTCATTGAATTCAGTCTTAAACAAAAACAGCTACTTCCTTCATGGATAGGTCTTCAGTAAAGAAAACCATCCTGAAAATTCTAGATGCCTGCCTGTCAGGCTGATGCTGTAGCTTTAACACTTTAAATGACTATGTAAATGATCACTGAGATGACCAAGTAAGGGCTTATATACAGATAAGCCCTTACTCTAGGGCTTGTATCTTATTTCTCATATTGCCTTCTCTTTGTCCTACCACAGACAGTTCAGTGTTTCTCTATTTCACAAATAACAATATATGTTTTATACAATCTTTTACATGGCCACTTTTATAATGCCTTTCTTAGCAACCATTGTTGGTCTTATAGACGTACTGTATGTGGCAATGCTGAGGAAGTGCAAATAATTTTTTATAATTACTGTCTAATACTAGATGACAAATTGCTAGAATAACAAGGCCTTCTCAGATCATTTGGCTCCAGCCCGAGAGATTAATAATTAAGCCCTTTTCACGGGCTGAGTTTTTAAGACAGCTTCTCAGTGACCCAGAATTCTTTTTTTCTCATGGATTTTCATTCTACAAGGATGCTGGGAAAAACTCTGTTTCTTATTTTCTCTCTGTTCAGCTTTGTGAATTCTGATCTGTGCAAACCAGGTAAAATCAAATAATTAATCCTACAGGACAGTTTTGTAGATGAGATGCACAGCCTTGATCATATAGTAGTATGTGAGAAGTATGTTAGTGCTCTGAAAACTTACACTGTATTTTATTGTTATAAAATCTGGATGGACGTGTGTTTTCTTTGTAATGCCGTCTTTTATTTTCCTAACTAGTTCTGGAAAGATATTTACTGTAATCGGATCGATCCAGAAACAAATATTGTTGTCTCAGTTTTTACACATTAGACTATATATTATTAATGTGAAGTATTATTGTTCATTGTATTTGTAAACTGATATAATTGATAGGGAACCAGAGTGAAATTGTTACCTGATTCTAATTATTCCATCTCAATCATGCAATAATCAGAGTGTATATTTGCAAATAGTGACTACAGCAGGTGGATTATGGCCACTAGAACACTGGACTAACAGCTTGGCAAGTCATCTGGCAATATCAAGTCATGGGGGTTATTCACAAAAGGGTGAAGGGTTGGAGAACGCAGGGGAAGCGAACAAACTAGGCCAAAATATCTGATTTGGAAAACTTTCCAGTTCAGCTATGTTGTCCTAGATTGTTCACTTCTTCTGCCTTCTCCAAACTCTTCACCCTTTTGTGAATAACCCTCATAATAGAGTAACACTCTACTGAGAGAATGTCTGGCATGTACTATTCAGTGGTTGTTCATATCAGTTTATTTAAAAAACAGTTGATTTTAGGTCTGATTATTCTTGGTAAAATATTCAGTAGCACTCCTTTATATACATTCAAATGTTATTTAAAATATACATATAAGCCAGCACTGAATTATATTACCCCAGGTAGATCATTTTTATTTGTAATTATAACTTGTAATTTGTGAATCTTCAAGTCATCCAAATGTTTTTAGATCTTTAGTACATGAGAAGAAAATAAAATAATAACCGAGTCACACATACTAAAGATCAGTAACATGGTACAAATAAGATCAAGAAAAGCTGTTGGGCTGATCAGAGAAATACAAATCACACCAATGAAAAGAAATAACTGATTAGAGCAGCAGTGCTATTTGTACCATGTTATTAAATAATCCGTTAAATCGCTTTTGCTCTGGCTGAGTCGCAGCTTCAAAGACAAAGGGCATAGAAAGAAGGCATATGAAATTAGTTCATGTTTTTAAATACATCTAGCAAAGGGCTACTATCTGACAGGATCCAGTACGTTCTTCCTGTGTTTGCTCTGGTGCCCATTTATAGGAAGATTGCAGCCGCATTAGTGCACTTGCAACAATACAGTTGAGCACTGCCTGTGATAATCTTTTTATTTGCACTTACAGTACAGGACAAGCTGCCGAAAGTCTACCCCCTTCTTTTAAGTTCAAGCAGTACATCAGTAAGCAGTAAGCTAGTACTGTTTGGACTTACCAGACCTTGCAGGTCTTAAAAGAGAACTAAGGGGTCAGTGCTTTTCCCCATAGTTCTCCTAAGGGTAACGGGAGGACACAAACTAGCGTCCTCCCGTCACCCAAAGCTCAGTATACCGCGAGCTACAATTCAAGGTATACTGAGATGCCGCAGCCGCAACGGATCCTGACAATTCTGTCTGGATCCACCCAGCTGCGGGATTGACAGCTGGCTCTGCCTATCTAGCTGTTGCAGCTGTTTTGGAGAAAACGTCCAGGGCAGCCCCAACACATCGGGTGTGAATGGGCCCTAAGCATTACGTTCTTAGTAGACCCTTAAAACCTTGCTCTGAAACATATACTGTGAGTACAAATAAAAACAAATTATGAACAGTACTCGACTATGCTCTAGCAGCTACAGAAACATTGGTAAGTTACCTGCCCACTGACCAAATTGGCTGTAGAGTGTGCGCCTGACTCTTAAGTTATATACTCCACAGAGGCATGATAGATATGGTTCTAGGAACTATAAAAATAATGCATATTGTGCGGAGAAAAAAAGAATAATTAGTGTTTTGTTAATCTGCAGATGCACCAGGCTCCTTTAAAGTTCGACTTAGTATCAAGAAAGCTCTAGGGGACAATGCAGTAAGTAAATATTTCTCCTGTATTAAAATATCAAATAACTGTTTCTATGCATTGATTAAGTATATTGAAATATTGGAATTCCACTCTATAGACTATTTTGATACTTTATACAATACAGAATTATAATATAAAGAACCATTGTATAAGATATTGTGTTGTCACTTTAAAGGCCAACTCCATCCAAACCTCTTTTTTTTAAACATTTGAATAGATTTGGGAACCATAAATATTCCTTTTTATTGGTGTCCATGACTGTATTGGGAGAGGTTTCACCTAACTTCATTAACCTATGACAACAGAAGAAGAGGAGAGAACAGAAAGGGAGCGGTTTTCACTGGAACAGAAGGACAGAAAGTCATAATAACCTGAGACAAATGTTTTAATCCTTCCCCATTTTACAGAAAAAATAGTGTAGGGACCTGCTAAATGTGTTACACAATGGTTTGTCTTGAAGTGTACCTTAACTCAAAATTAACACAAAGCTATGCTAACATCCTTCCCGGAATGTATATATGAAGCATTTTAGGAGTTAAATAATTATGTTTCTTTCATCCCCAGTCACCCTCCAGTAAAGGCTGCCACCTTTGTTATGGCAAAACAAGGGATAGGGGGCAAGGTAGGGCTAATAGTGGTGTGCTATGCACACTGTGCCAAACTATACTTAATGGGCTGAAGGATACTGACATCAACATTGAATGGTGTTGTCACAGTCTCCTTGGTGCTGTGCCATCACATCACAGTTCCCCTTTTACATCAAAGTCTTCCTCCCCATTACCTCAGGAGCTCCTCTTCGCTTCAGAGTCCCCTTCACATCAAGAGCCCCCTATCCTTCACATCAGGAGGTCCCCATTCACGTCAGAAGTTCTCTGCTTCATGTCAGAGGCACCCTTCAAGTCAGAGTCCTCTTGTTCACACCAGGTGCCCCCCTTTATACACCATAAGCCCCCCTTTCACATCAGAGTGCCCCCTTTCGCATCAGGAGCCCTCTTCACATCAGGAGCCCCCTTCACATCAGGAGCCCCCTTAACATTAGAGTTTCTCCCTTTTGCATCAGGAGCCCCCCTTCATATCAAAGTTCCCCCTTTTCATCAGGAACCCCCTTTACAATAGAGTCCACTCTT